ATACAAATAAAAATTCCACAATTTTTATTTTAATTATATCAACACAAGAGTAAATATCAAAACAATTTACATCCATGTTTTAAATAACACGAACTCTATTTCATCATTGACAACGGTTCTAAGTTGAACAATTTCTTCCAACAAATATTTGAGTTGTAAAGGTATAACAGTTTGTTTGTTTTTTATTATTTTGCCAAAATATTATGCAAACAATGTATAAATTTCCAAATTTGAGTAAACCGAATTACTTTCAAAACCATTCAATTTAACACAATTAAATCTCAACTCGATTTTTTTTTAAATTTTTTCTAATATTTCCAAAAACAACTCTTTTTGTGCCGAACAAATAACCACATTTCTACCATTTATATTTTCAAATTCAGAAAAATCGTTGTTATTTAATCTGTTGATTTTGTCATTATTTTGTTGTAAAAATTAACAATTTTACCAGTTTCTTTTACAATTAACCCAATTACAATTTGTAAATTTTCGTTTAAATTGTTCAATTTAACAATTGTATAAATAAAAAGTAGTTATAAAATAGTTATTTTTATTTTGAAAAAACAATATACATTCTAATATATCAACATCATCGATGTTGATATATTAACAAATTTGCTGACAATCTTAATTCAATATCGTTCCAATTATTGTAAACATTAAAATACGTTTTTTATCAAACATTCTTTAAGTTCTATATTATGAAATAATGTTTTGTGTTGTAAGTATGTAAATTTAAACCATTACAGTTCATAATTTTACCACAAATGATACAATAAAATGTTTTAGTATCTATTTTATCTGCCAACTTGTTTTGTATCCAATCTACTTTAACAGGCATTTGTTATATTTGTTTTTAGATTTTATCTTTATATTATCATATAATAAAGAATCAAAAATGAATTCTTCTTTTTAAAATTCAAAATGTCCTTAAATTACGTCTTTTATATTATTTATCGTTTTATTTCTTTTTTATTCATTTTTGATAATAAATAACTGTGTTATGTCTGATATAATTAATTAATAAAAAAACAATGTGATTTACCATTTTTTGTTTTTAAGTTTTTATTCAATAACACTATCGTTTGGCCTACCCCGGTTGTTGTATAATTAAATATAACACACTCCGGCATTTTCCTGGTTTTTATTTTTTCAGTGTTAATGGTTCCCAAAACTTCATTAAAAATAACACATTCCTTAACACTTAAAATAACGCCCTTATTTTTGTTTTGGCCTGTTTTTACGAGGATATTAATCAAAATTTTGATGGTTTTCCTTTTTTTGACTTGTGTATAGTTTATGCACAAAATACAAACTCTAAAAAACTGGAAATTTATTTAATAAACTCGAGAGTTCCCCGATTTTTAGACCACTTGAATTTTGTTCAATGTTATTTAAAGTGTTAACATTGCCAAAAGCCAAAAACTAGACAGATAAGCTTGAAAACTATGATTTTTTATTTTTTTTCAATTTTTTTTAATTTATCAAAAAATAACACAATTTAAAAAATTGAACTAATGTGCACAAATAATACAAAAACATTTTAGATTGTTTTATATAGTAAAAAAACTTAATTAAAAAATTAATAAAATATAATTCAAATGTTATCAAAATTTTATTATAAAATTTACTATTAAAAAATATAAAAAATATAAAAATAGATTTGGTAATGACAGTTTGCCAAATTATCACAAATCTTAATGTTCGGTGAATAACGAAAAATATAAAAGTTCGGCGAATTAGAATAATAGTGAAAAAACTATAATTTTTAACTAGCTTGAATTAAATATATTATATCCCTTAACTGTTGAAAAATAAATATTTTAATAAATATTTAATAAAATAATTTAATATT